GGTTACTGTGAATGATATCAAAAAGTGATAAACTGATAAAATTTTTCCCAAATATTGATTAATATTTCATCAGTAGACCAATTTTTGATGTCTGTCCCAGGAACTGAGATAAATAGGCTCAAAATCAGGGGGCCTTGGGTCCATTTATACTGAAAAAAGAAACTATTTTTGTAAATTTTTAATTGTCCACTTTGAGCCAATTTATCTCAGCTCTTATCAGAGATATCAAAAAGTGGTCAACTGATAAAATGTTTATCACATTATCAGCAATATTTTATCAGTTGGCACATTTTTGATATCTCTAATAGTAACCGAGATACATAGGCTCAAAATTAGAAGACCTTGGGTCNATTTACACACCGAAAGCGAGCTAGATGGCTGAAATTCGGATTTTAGACTAATTCAATGGTGGGAAAATTGATTTGAATAATGAAATTCTCTGAAAATTCGTCGGAATTCATTTTTCGTTTTTTAATGAATGAATTAAAACTAAAGAACTGAAATTACCATTTTTGGTCCAGCGCCGAAATTCGACCGATTTTTGACTATTCGAATTTTAGAACTTTGAAAATTCAATGACAAATAAACTGATAAGATCTATCAGTGATATCATATTCTGATTTGTGAGCTCTACAGTAACCAATCTGCAATTCTTTGCAGGACCAAGTAACAACATCCCTCGAACTCCTCCGTAACGCTGGAATCAAGATTTGGATGTTAACCGGAGACAAACTCGAAACAGCTATCTGCATCGCAAAGTCCTCAGGACTATTCTCCCGTTCTGACAACATCCACGTCTTTGGGAACGTCCACAATCGAACCGACGCTCACAACGAGTTGAACAATCTACGACGGAAAACCGATGTGGCACTGGTGATGCCTGGATCCGCGTTGAACGTCTGTCTACAGTACTACGAGGCAGAGGTGGCCGAGTTGGTTTGCGCGTGTACGGCCGTCGTGTGCTGCCGATGCTCACCGGAGCAGAAGGCGCAGATCGTGCAGTTGTTGAGAAAGTATCGAGCACCGTTGAGAGTGGCGGCGATTGGAGATGGAGGTAGGGGGTACCGTAGCTAGCGTAGGGATAAGGGTGGGAGGGAGAGGGGCAAGTACCGCACCTACCGTAGGGTCTGGTGTGTTTTCTATATTATTTTGAAGTTAAAATGGCCTGAAAATGGCCTGAAAATGATTTAGAATTGGCCCAAAATGGCTCTAAAACAACATAGATCCTCTGAATTCCAGGAAACGACGTGTCGATGATTCAAGCGGCCCATGCCGGTATCGGAATCGACGCCAACGAGGGAAAACAAGCGTCGCTTGCCGCGGACTTCTCGATTACACAATTCTCGCACGTGTGTCGTCTCCTGCTGGTGCACGGACGATTCTGCTATAAACGATCGTGTGCACTGTCGCAGTTTGTCATGCATCGGTAGGTTTGAAGCCAGGTTTGCGTCGCGTCGCGTGTCGGCGAAACGGTCGTCACCTGTGGAGCGGCTCAGTAGCGCTTGAGATGCATTCAAAAGTTTTGATATTTCATCGGTCGACAGCTATGCTCTGATAGCTCACTTTGAGCTCAATTATCTCGATTACTGTAAGAGATATTCAAAACTTTTCAACTGATAAAATGCTTACCATGTTATCGCTAACATTTTATCAGTTGACGCATTTTTGATATCTCTTACAGGAACCGAGATAATTGAGCTCAACATTTCTCTTAAGCCCCGCCCCTTTTTTTAATCAATTCACAAAAATTCCTTATTTCCAGCGGTCTGATCATCTCCACAATGCAAGCCATCTTCTCGTGCGTCTTCTATTTTGCCTCCGTCTCCCTGTACCAAGGTGTCCTAATGGTTGCCTATTCGACATGCTACACAATGCTTCCCGTCTTCTCGCTGGTCGTCGATCGTGACGTCACCGCGTCGAACGCCCTGACGTATCCGGAGCTCTACAAGGAATTGGGAAAAGGACGATCGCTGTCGTATAAGACATTCTGCATTTGGGTGCTGATTTCGTTGTATCAGGGAGCGGTTATCATGTACGGAGCACTGCTTGTCTTCGATGCCGACTTCATTCATGTCGTTTCGATTTCGTTCTCGGCGCTGATTGTTACCGAATTGATTATGGTTGCGATGACGGTGCACACGTGGCATTGGGCAATGCTGCTGGCACAGGTGATTAGACTGAAAATAAGGCCGACCGACAGCCCAACCGAGTTGACCAATCGGTCGGCGCGCCGACCGTTTTCGTGCATTTGCGCGTCAACGTGTTTGCATACTGTATGCACTGTATTCTACTGACAAATAAGGCCTCCATTTCGGTCTGTCGAAAATCGCCGACCGCCGACCGACCACCGACCCAGCCGACCGACAGCCGACCGATTTCGTACCTTTGCGCATAAAAATACGAATTTTTGCGTACGAAGCACTTTATTTTACGACAAATGAGGCTTTTAGTGAATAGTT